TGCTCTCTTCGGCTGCCACCGATACCATCCTTGTCCCTGTCAGTGTTATATGGCTGCTGCTGATGTCGATGCTCCTCACAATGAACTGTTCTTTTTGCAGCTCCCAATACTCGGGCACATTATGCAGCCAAGTGGTGCCGGGTTGTGCTGGCCACATTTCGGTGCCACCTCTGCCTCCAGTGGAAAATTTGGTCATGGGGTGCCTCTGTGTGTACCGTGTGATCGTCAGTGCGACCATTTGTCTACTGGAGACCAGTTTTATGGGTAGCGGCAATAAAAATTGGTAACAAATAAATCCCATTGTAATGTATCTATCTGCAGATCGAATCTAAGTGAGCTCGAAAATGACAACGGGACGACCACATGAAGCGGTGGTTAAGGCACAGCCGGAGAGAAGAAGAAAGAGCATCGCCAAGACAGAGTTGCTTTTGCTTCATCTCTCTCTCTCTCTCTCTNCTCTCTCTCTCTCTCTCTCTCTCTCTCTCTCTCTCTCTCTCTCTCTCTCTCTCTCTCTCTCTCTCTCGTCCGGGCACAAGGCGAAAGTGCCGTGCCGAGGCAGGCCAGACCATCACCGTCCCAAAGTGACTCACACAGACATAAATCGCAATTTTACGATACTTTTCCATTTGGCGAACACGCATCTAGCCATCGTCTTTGCATTCGCTTTTTCTCTACTCGATGCAAGCGCACGGTCTGCAGAACAAACTTGCTCTGGCTCCTTTCGTCTCTTCAGTCGTTCGCTGCAGCCTCAATTGTGCTCGGCTTAGCTCGAGTTTTACGATTTAAGCAAACTTTTATTTATAAACGATGCATCCGATGCAAAGAATCGAATGTATGCAAAGAAAGGAGAGAGAGAGGGAACGAAAGAAGAGTGTGATGTGGCGTGCTTCAGTTGCTGTTGCTTCTGCTGCCCTCGCGACGGTCACATTGAAAAAACTGCCCACTGAGATACTGGTGCTACCCAACTCTCTTTGGCTCAATCAGAACAATGTGCCATCGAAAAGAAAAGTGCTTAAATTGCAAATGTTACTTTGCTTAAATCGACGTCGCACTTCACGGCGAAAAAGAGAAAGATTCTACGACAGTCTCAGTTACGACAGTACCCGAAGAGTCAATAAAATTCTGCTGCTACCATTTTTTTTGTATATCCATTTACGCATAAATTGAGAGATGGTTCAATTAAGAGTGTTTTCCACTAATGAGAAGAAGAAGTAGTAGCCTGAACTGTGAGCAGACTCGCCTTTTCTACTAAATTGTGTTGCCATTGTAGTGTACTGGTGACATCAAACTGGAGCTATATTCGTTTGAACTCCTTTCATTTTTTCATTTTTTCTGACCAGGAAAAAGGTTATTTAACAAAGTTCTAACTATCAAGAAGTTTGCAGAACATTAATAGATGATGGTGTGTGTATAATCTTCATTGAATTGAGTGCCAGTGACGATAAACTTTCACTTTGCACCTATTTGGGTGCTGTAGGCAAATATTTAAATATTGTCGCAATTTAGAGTTTTAAAATTTAACATTTAATATGCACAAACAGATAATTTATGGTTTTAACAAAAGCAAACAAAGAAACAGTTTAAAAACTGCGTGTCAAACAATATAACTCTCAGGGTAACAAACTGCAATAGCGACTAAGTGGTAAATGCAAAATGTCAATATTGAAATTGCTAAAAAATAAACATCAGTTTGATAACATTTTTCATTTGTGTAATATTGAAAGTAGTAAGATTAACTCTCTTAAATAGTACTGACAATTTATGACTTCTCAAGCTTAGGCAAGTTTATGTTTTTCTCATAAAAGTTAGATGATCTTTTCTCGCTTTGTTTTGTGGCGTAGCCAAATCGATTGAGACATTCAGAGGAAAAGCAGTGGTCAGTGTCAGTCTCATCAAACAGTGCATCTATCATCACTGAAGATCATCGCCTTTATCATCACGACATGGAGACGGAACTATGCTCTCTTTCTTTTAACGTTCTTATTCAGCCGATTGATCTGCAACTCGAGCAGCAATTAAAGCAAACCGTGATCATCGTCTAGTCCGCAACTGCAGGCTGGAATGCACAGTGCCAGTGTTTCTTTTCAATAGCCATGACGGCAATTGTGATGAGCAGAGGAAAAAAAGACCACCCTTTAGATGAGACGCTTGCTGGTAGCAATGAGATGTAAACGAGGAAGAATGTCAGAGACGAGTGAGACAAACAGGCAGTCAGGTGGAGAGTGGTTGTAGTCTGCCTCTTGAACAGTCGCTGATTGCCAGGCGAACGATGGTGCACACACACAGACAGACACTCAGGCACACAGAGGTATATACTAATCTCAGCATTACAGTGAAGAAGTGCTCATGCACTGGTGACTTCAATGAAAAAAGAGTTGCACATGGCATTACCAATTAATGGCAATTTAATTAGATGTTCCTCCACGCATCAGTATTGTCCCTCTACTCACTCACTCGTTGAGATGTCAATTATAAAATATTTGCACCAGCGTTTTCAGGGCGGCCTTTTTATTTAGCAGCAACTTTGCTTCCTTTCTGACTTTGACTCTCACAACCTCACGACACACGGTGACCATGTTCTGTACATGGAAACGCATTTGGTGTCTCAATGAAGCTTTTCTCTGCCAGCCACAAGTACAAAATGCATCGGTGTGTGATGTGCACGTTGCAGGCAGCAACAACAGCAGTCGGATGGTTTTGTATTTTTATATTTGTCCCTTGCACTGTTTTCATTTTATCTCTTTCTTGGTTGACTTTTCTATTCTGTGCGTTCCTTCAATTTGCCAGCAGTGTTCATTTTACGATTTCATCTGCTGCCATCGCCGTTTCACCATTGTCCTCGTTCTCTCTCTCTTTTCACTCTTTGCTGCACTCACCGACGGCACCATCGTGCTGCTCTTATTCTTCAGTCGCTTTTCGTTCTTTCTCTGTCTCTCTCTCTTTCTCTGTCTCTCTCTCTCTCTCTTTCTGTCTTGGCCGCTGTTTAGATTTCGGTGCACGTTTCAGCCAAACAAAAAAGAGAAAGCGACTGGAGGGGAGTGGCGTCTAGAGTTGGTGAGAGAGAGTGCCACTGCTGCTTGGTTGGCAACAAAGCCACACGAGCTGCAACTGCCCTGCACTGCTTCCTCACTGGCCAATCTCCATTGCCTCTTTGCATAGCCATCAAAGTGACTCTATAAGGGGCGACTGTGCCACTTTGGGCTTCAGGCAGGCAGCACAAATTGCACATGAGTTTTCCTGTGCACACATTGACGCGCTCTCGTCCTTCTATCAGACTCAACCACAATGGCAAATTGGCCAAGTTGCAAATGCAAATGACACCATGAAAAGAAATTGCAGCACTGGCGGCAGCGGCGGTGGCATCGATTACATCGTCTCAATCGCTCCTGCTCCTGCTGCTGCGGCTTCTGTATTACGATGATCACCAGTGCAGCCATTGACGCCTTTAATCTTCGCCTTTAAAGTGCATCTTCAGCACTAACTAACTAATGCATCATTAGTTCACCTTAAAGGGCATTTTATAACAGGGCCATAGAGTAGCCTCAAATGTGTCGATTGCCATAAGGCGCGATGAAAGTTGATTGTCATCGATGCAATTTGTCTCTGTCTCTCTTTCGTTTTCTCGTTTAACTTCGATTGCAGATCGCCAACTGCCGCACTTGCCGGCGACTTATCTGCCGGCGAGTGGCACCGTACAAGCGTGTTAGCTTGTAAATAATCTCGTTTTGTTGCTGAAAGACAGACAGTTTTTTTTGCAAGTGGGACTTCAACTATTGGGCACGTTTTATTGTCTAAATTACCATAAAAAAATCGTTACAGTAAACATTAAATACTTGTTAATTTTCTTTTTCTGCAATTAATAAACTTTCTTCACATAAATATAACACCGCTGCCGCAGTGGGTAATGTATTGTGTTTTCTACTTTTACTGGTGCTGATGATGATGCCGGTGATAATTCGGGTTTTGCTGTGTGCTTTAGTTGCACTCCTTTGGACACTACTTTGGCATCAGTGCACTGCTAATTAAAACGTCTGTGAAAGTTTTATTTTGTTTCAAAAGGACAATGATACATTCATACATAGACAAGGAAAGGTGAGAGAAAAAGAATTAGGAGACTGAGAAAAAAGAGGTGCACAATGAAAAGTAATCTGCTTCATAGAGCAGTGAACTAAAAAAGAGCCAGGGAGAAAAGGGAAGAAAACAAATGAAGCTACGATATTGGCGGCAAACTGCTGGCGTTGGTACGCTGGTTGGCTGCCTTAACCAGTGCCACGCTAGTGAACAAAATTATGTTTATGAGAGTGTGTGCTTTGTTTCGACAAAATTGTGTGCAATATCTTTTGACGTATTCGTCCAACGGTTGACCCGAGACGATGGTGTTTCATTCTTTTCTTGATGCTCCCAAAACTGTCTTTATTGTCTTTACGAGTCCTGCGAGTACGACTGTACAATGAGACCAACGCAAGTGTGTGTGCTCGAAAACGACCCCGAAGACAGTGAAGAGATGATCATAAAGAAGAGAAGTAAGAAGAAGAGGAAAATGTTGGACCAGGTGTGCTGTTGCTGATGCCCTGTCAGTTGCTATGTACATGCAGTGTCTGTCATCTGAATTCATAAATAGTGACGTAATTTATATATACTGAGAAATAAAATGAAAGCATGGCTTATTGGTTACAGAGTTGCATTTGGCGAGATTAGTGCACAATAATTTATAGTATGATTACTGTCTGGAATCGGTGGTGGTGGTGGTAATGTCGTTGAAGCGCAGAACGCCAATCGCGCACCTTTGAAAGGGAAAAGTTAGTGACGAGGAGAAAGAGGTGGAGAAAGAAGAGGAGAAAATGGTACGACATGCTGCGACACTGACGACGGCGGCGATGATGCATCAAGCAATGGTGGTCATTTATTTCGATCCGAGTTGCGCTGCGATGTCTTTTTGCTTTTCATTCGTCTGTTCTGAAACCATATCTTCACCTGGCGCTCAGTGAGGTTCAGATTACGTGCCAGCTCCCAGCGCTTCTGCTTGGAGACGTAGGCGTTGTAGAGGAACTCCTTCTCTAGCTCCAATGTCTGAAACTTTGAGTACGGTTTCCGTTTCTTGCGCACTGACACGTGGTGGTTGGAGTGGGTGGACTGGTGCGAGCTGCCGCCATTGGTCCAGTCAATTCGGTCCAGTCCACTGGCGGCGGCATTGCTGACCAACAGTGCCGCGTGATGGTGGGCTTGTGCCTGCAGTGCAGCGGCATGGGCAGCCTGTGAAATCTGATGGTGATGAACCAGGGCTTCGTCTGCAAGGAAGGAAAAAGAAGAGAACAGAAGAACAATTCATTAGCAGACGTATTTGGCGTAGACTGATGGTGGTGGTGGGGATTTTTGAGGAGAGCAATGTCATAAAGGACGCAAAAAGCGACAAACAGCGAACGTGGCCGTCGTAATCTGATCACAGAGAACGGTCACTCTCTCACTCACGCTCTCAGCAGCTTCAGCAGCTCCAATTTCAATACAAGCCGACAAAAGCAGCTGACCGAAGGGTCAGTTGCCGATGGCCCAAGCTGAAAGCCAAGGAAAAGAAGTGCCTGTGCTTAGGTCTGCTTACGTGCTGCTGACCAGAGAAATCGGTCATAAAATCGGTGAGAGCACTGACAAACTGAGCCTCAATCACAGTGCCTTTCTGCAGCAGTTATCTATTCTCGGTTATCAATCGTGTGCGCGACTTTAGCGGCGATTTACTTTGCTGTTTGTCTACCGTCCATTATGTAAGAAAACGCAATTGGGCTCTGTTTGTTTGACTGCTTGCGACAAGCACTGACGGGACAAAAAACTGCCGCACACCCACCAGCGGTGACCAATTGCGTTAGGGACAACAAGCAAATAGAAAGTGTCACAACAGACAGTGTCGCAAAGAACAAAAAAGAAAGGAAAGTACTGCAAGCAGTGGATGCCACACAGTCCTTGCCAGCTAGGCCCCCAGGATGCCCTTTAAGCAATCGAAGCCTAGGGATTGCGTCAATTTAGATCGAGTGCAAATCTATTTTAAGAAACACTTTCCGCGTTTTCCACACCAGGGAGCAGACCGAATTAGACCGTCGCACTTGGAAAGGAAGAAGAAGAAGAGCTGCTAAGGAAGGAGAAGCTTCATGTCGGCACACACGCGGTCTATCTCTCAGTCTCTGTCTCACTGCAGCCGCTCTCGTTCACTGGCTGCCAGCTCGGAATGCTCTCCAGCTTGCCAGCTTATGTAAATGCCATCAGAAGGCAGTCATATACAATAAAATTTTATGATCTGTTTTGCCGAGACAAAGCTTCAGGCCGAATGTGAGCTGGCTGTGCTCTCGCTGTGAGCGCATCTAAGCAGCAATTACCACTGGCACCAGTCAGGTAGCCAGGCCAAAGAAGAAGTTTTAGAAGTAGTAGAAGTCACTGACAGACGCTGAGGTTGGTTGCGGCTTCTGCTTGCTCCCATCTACTTCAGCTGCCAGAGAAGAATCAGCCAGCCAAGACCCACGCTCAAACATGGTCACAGTGGCCAAACACTGGCGCGCGCTATTTTGAGCTCGATCTATCTATCTATCAGTCTATCTACAGGCAATCGATTGCCATTGTCAAAAAGCGCTGGCCAATGAGGCCTAGAGCAGTGATTGGTCAGAGTGGTCAGTTCCGCCGTGCCGTATTCAACCACCACCACCGCAATTCAATTGCTGTTTGTGATTGGCAACGGACCGATGCAAATGGAACAACAACAACAACGGCAACCAAGCTTGAAGTTTTCACTGAAAGATAGTGTGCTCGGTGTGTGGTGACAATCGGCTGAGCGGGCACTGTGCAGTGCACCAGTTTATGGGTTTCAGCGCTGTGGTTAGTCGAATCAAAATAAGGTTTGATTTGCTCAATTTAAGGCAGTCGAGTGTGCATAATGGTCGGTGGACGGTAGCATTTTGATTAGTACTTTTCTTGCACCACCATCACCACCACCACCACCACCACTACCGCACATGCATTGACCAGTCTTCAGTTGTGGTGCTTCCTGCTCCACCACCACTGCTGCGTGCTAGTCATAACAATCGGCGCTATATTTATCGTTTATTAACAATCACTTGGTCATTCTGACTGGCTACTGGCACACACACACACACACACACACACACATGGCAAACTGCAAATGAAGAGTCGTAAAAGTTTGCATGGAAATAGCAGCGGAGAGCGTTTGCATTTGGTTCAATTAGCATTCGGTGGTCATCGTCATCGTGAACTTGCAGTTCAGTCCGGTCACTGCTGTCACCGGCAGTGACCGTTTCCCGGTGACTTCTGACCCGAGGAAGGGGAGAGGTGGTTCCTCTGGTGTTTCAAAAGAGCACCGGCAGTTAGTCATCTAGGTAGAGTGTGCTACTGTTGAGCTGCTTCGCTCCATTGCCTTCTCCATTGCGTCCTAACGCTTTATCGCTTTTATGAATGTGCACGCTCGTGAGTCCAATTAGGAACACATGCTTTGACTTTCAATTTATTTGCCCAGAAAAGTGGCTGGGTTACGCCATTGGTGACAGGCGGTGCCGTCAGGTCAGCGTTGTGTTCTACCTCTCACTGCACTTTCAGTCTCATTATCCTGATTGTCATAGGTCGGCCTATTTGAGAGTGCACTACTCTGCTGAAAAGAGTAAAAAAATGGAAACTTTCAAGTTTTAAGTGAAGCCTCTTTAACAAGGTCGCTTCTCGTTCTTTTTTTGCTTTTTCATCATCGGCGACAACAAATAAATCTGTCATCGAAACATAATGTTATTATTGAGTGCTCATTAAGACGCACTGCAGCAACTCGTTTTATGTCCCCTTGTGTACTGGAGCAATTTATTAATTAAATAGCAGCACAGAAACAAAAAAGTAGTAGCAGCAGAACACTAATTTTGTATAATCTTAATTTGGCCGATAAGCCCAATAAACACTCGTCACGAACAATTTCGATCGATTGTTGGGTAGTAAATGTGTGTGTTTCTATCTAAACTGTCACCAGTGCAGCAGCTTCTGCAACTCTAATCGGCCAATAATGCCAAAGCAGTCGATCAGTTGTGAGAGCGAATAGTTGCCGGACTCCTCGTAAATTTGCTGCTCACTGTCTGTCTGCACGGCCGCCACTAAACTGGCTGCCAAGTGAAGATTGAGATAAAGTGCAATCGATGTGCTCTGCGTTGATGTGTTCGAGAGAGGACCACTTAATTTATTCGAAAGCAATATATTCCCGCTCCACTTTAGATTGCTGCGGCCACAACTGAAGCTGATGCTGTCCTTCTACTGTCCAGCACAGCTACTGCTACCGTGTTCCCTTAGGTCTATTGCCTGAGTGTTAAATGTCCAATAAATGAATCAATTAGGATAAGAAGAGAAGAACACTGGACATCTAGTGCATTCACAGTAAATACATCGTTGTCGATGACCATCCTAATTGATTCAGCTCAAGCAGTGGCAATGACAGTAGCAATTGAACAAACACTGAAGAACACTTTCGGAGAATAACGTTGGAGACAAATTGTTGTGAAAGAAAGACCAGTCATGCAGCCATTGTTTGAAGAGGACAAAGCTAGCCAGTAAAAAACTAAACACACATACTTGTTAGCTGATGCTGATGGTGCTGTTGTTGTCTGTTTGTTTGCTTTTTGTTCTCCTTCTCTTTCTCAGTACCAAAACCTGCATTCTGCCTGGGCGCTTAGCGCCTTAATTATGGCGTGACAGGCACTCGGTGCAGTCTAGACTGTATAGAGTGACAACAGTGATACAAAGTGTCTCTTGCGTAGCGAGAAGATGCAGATAGTAAAAAAGATTATTAGCACCCATTATCTAAAATTAACCACATAGTATTGTACTTGAAAATAAAACCCAAAAGGCTATACTACTGAAAAAATGACTGCACTATTGATGCTAACAAGAACACTGGAAAACCATTTTGCAAAATGCAAGAATGCAGTAGCTGAAACAGCCTTTGAGTGTTGGCCAAGGTCTACTGAAACTANGGTGCAAATATTCGTCGAGAATAACGCACCCCAATAAACATCTACATCTACATCTCTCTCTCTCTCTCTCTCTCTCTCTCTCTCTCTCTCTCTCTACCTGATGATGCAGCATACGACAGAGGACCCTGTGCACCACTGCAATCACAGAGAGTCTGAGGTGCTCGTATGACCTATAAGTGAGTGGAAGCATCCGCAGTAACAGCTCTACTTGTCTACAATGCCTGTCACCGAATCATCTGCATTGTGGCGATAGTGCTTATCGCACTCGAGCAGAGTCGAAAAACAGCAGCGAATTAAGTTGTCCTCTCTGTAGGTATTGCAGATGAGAATTAGTAAAAATGCAGGAGAGAGAGAATGAGAGGTCTTCAACGACTAAACTACACAGAGAGATTCCCATCGATCTCAGTCGGCCGTGCAGTGGCTGGGCTATTTCTGAACTGCAAACCAGAATGTGTGGGGAGCTGCTGAAAAAAGCAGGCATAGACAGGCAGACAGACAGGCGACAACTTCCCCTAGGCAAAATAACATAAAACAGCTCGCTTTGAATTTGCCAAGTTTTTTTTCTTGACATCAAACATCGTGGAGTATCAGGCAGCACTGGCACAGACGATCATCAGTGCAGCCATCACTTTTGTGCTGTGGTCGTTACTGCGTCTGTCAGAAAGTAGTCTCACTTTCAGCTGAACGATGCGACGGTAAGAAAAAAAGAAAAAGAGAGGAGTGAAGTGCGCATTTGCCATCACTTCACAAAGCGACTGTCAGATGGTTTGTAAAGAGCTGAACAATGCGAATTAAGAAGAACTTCAAGCTGACCATGACTGAACTAGACAAAAAGTTTTTTTTTCTCAGTATTGTTGATGGTGATGGCAGTGTTGAGGTAGGGAGCATCAACAACAGCAGTACATGTTTTAGGACTGCTTGTTTCGATGGTAGGCCAGATGCCGTCACTACTGCACCGCATCAGTTGTGTGCCCTATAGCCTATTTGATTGATTGGCGCTTAGATTACTGATGAAATTCTACCTCTATGCAGCAAAGAGATTCGCTATTATTAAAGGCTCATTAAAAAGCTATAAATGGGCAAATTGCAAATTAAGTGTTTTTTCTTACATGTGAGGCCTCTTTTCTCTTTCTTTTTCTATCTTTTTGGCAAGTTATCACAGTTTGACAAGTGCTAGTGTGCCAGTCTCTTATCGTAATAACGTTGCAAGCAGAAGCAACAGAATTATCATCTGATTCTGCCTGCGATTCACTTGACTTAATTGTGCTTGTTTGCCTTTGAGAAGACCTGATAAGATTGCGTTTTGACAGTAGGTGAGCGTTTGTGCTCATCAGTAATCAGCTATAACTTTGTGCACCAGTGAACAGTACTGATCTGTTTTCTACGCTTTCTCATAACTCATAAGAAGAGGTGACACTTTTATTTCGCGCTAATTACTAAGCCAAAAAACTTCAGAAAAAGAAGGACATTTTTAGCATGATTGTTAGTTAGGCTACTTGTTTTGACTTGTAGTTTCACTTACTGGTGCTGTTGCTGGTGCTCGATGAGGGAATGCCATTGACTGGCTGTGGCCAACTGGTGACCGGGGTGACTGAACCACCAGCACCTCCGCCGTTTCCGCCACAAGACTGCTCAGAGATGGCAGACATTCGCATGGCCTGGTGGTAGGAGGCTGCAGCCGAGTCCACAAATGCAGACCTCGGGTCAGGGTCGCCCAGGTACGGATCAACTGAAGTGACCCGACTGCTGGCGGCATTCGGGTACGCACTAGGGTAGCCACACCAGGCCGCCGCTGCCGCTTGATGGGCCAGTCGCTCGGCAAAGGCGCTCGGGTGGCAAACCGCAGCGGCCATTATCGACGAGTGATCACTGGGCATGGGTGGGGAGGTGCCGTTCACCGAATCGTATGAGTTTGACCAGAATTTTGCAGCCACAGCAGCTGATGGTTTGCCGTGTCGACCACTGACGACACTGGCCACAGAGGAGGAAGAAGAAGATGAGGGCAGACCGTCATGCAGAGACTGAGAGGATGAAGCTGCGACGACTGCGCTGGAGGCGTAGGAGGCGTACGAGTAGGAGTTGCCGCCATGCGCCAGGTGAGGGTGGTGGGGGTGGCCGTGGTGACTGTGCTGGCTGTGCTGACTGAGGTTGTGCCCGGAGAGGACGCTCCCACTACCGCCACCAGTGGGCCCATTGCCGTTGCTCGATGGGGGTGGAGGGCCCAGGCAGCAGGAAGCAGAGGCCGCGGCGGCTGCCGCCGATCCGAGGTTGCCATTGAGCTGAGAGGCGTAGAGGTCAAAGTCAGCGTATGCAGGGTGGTGCACCGAGGGCGACCAGACAGGCGTTGTGCTGCTGATGCCGCCGTGAGGCATCTGCGGCTCACTCGAGCTGGAGCGCATTCTCTCCGAGGCAGAGGAGCTCACCGAGGAGACCGAGTTGGCGCCCATCTGACTGGGAGTGTGATTGGCGCTGTTGTTGGAGCTGCTGTTTGGGCCATCTCTGCCTGTGCCTCGCCCGGCAGCACCTCCACCGCCTCCATTGACCACTTGTCCGACTCGTTCGTCAACGAAGCTGTTGGACCCATTGTTCAACTGCTGCTGCTCAACCGGCTCCCGTTTGATGTGCAGTACGGTGTTGTTGTTGTTGTTGTTACTGTTGGCGGATGTTGAGTTGGCGGCAGCACCGTGCTGCCCGCCCTCAAATCCGTTCATCATAATGACACTCATTGGGACTGACTGTGCTGCCGGGTGACGGTGACTTCGGTGCACAAAGTCATCCTTTTCAGAGGACGCAAACACAGACACTGAGGCACACATGCACACGGCTGTTTTCGGGCGACTTGAAAAACAGGAGTTTACTCAAAGAGCGCCTTTCAGTGAAGTTGGCAGTAGTAATACCAGATGCCAACGTTGCCAGACTTCACTTCTATTGAATAGACGAAGCACAGTAATAGTGTTTGCAGAGCACAAATAAATGGGTGAGAAATGAAATGTACACAGTGTAATCAACCAGTGAAGTCTGGTGCATTGGCCGATCACTGCTCGGTAATTGATTGGTAATTAGCAACGGTCAATGAAGGAGCAATGCAGCACAAAATAGATGCTAAGAACGGTGCGTAATTGGCCAGGCTACAACGATGCTGTTGTAAAGTAATGCACGACACGCGTTTGTGTTTGCACAACGCCGGGCGGCGACGATGACGGCGGTGATGGCGAGAAAGAGAAGCGGAACAATTAAATTTTACAACGCCAACAAAAAGAGTGCGTAAATTGGCGGCTAAAAAGTGGTAAAGTGCAGCGAAGAGGAGCTGGTAGACTTTGGGGGTGAAAGGGGACGCATCACCGGTGGGTGACGCACCTCTGGAGCAGATGACTGTGACGATGGCCTTGTGCACGAAGGGCCCGAGAGTGTGTGTGTGTGTGTGTGTGCACAACCAGCTCGTGCTGCACCGGTGAGGAGACACAATAATAAAAAAGGAGAGCTGCTGCTGCTCACTGAATGGGCTGTTTCTCTCACGTCCGATCTCTAATTGAATAAAGCGGGCTTATATCATCATAAAAATAAGAGTTATTATTGACAATAATTTTTTATTGCACACTCTTAAAAGTGTTGGCAGTAGTGGCGCGCACGAGGAGCTCCTCGCAGGCGGACGGTTTTAATGTCGAATGGCACCTCTTAAGGTTAACAGCACGAGTGCACGATGATGTCAAAGAGGAGAGAGCGAGAATGAGAGGGCGAGAGAGGGAAAAGCAATGGCTGCTGCTGAAGACGGCGCTGAAGATGCGACGGTGCGGACGGTGTGCAGTGAGTGGCTGCTGGCTCGGTCGGCTCTGAACCTCGGCGGTCGTCAGACTAGTGAGACGATCGACACTAGTGCTCCAGCCCGAGAGAATGCTACACTGCCACCACTCAATGGTAGTTGCCGTGGTCGTCGTTGTCGTGGTGGAGGTGGTGGTGGTGGCGGCTGTGCTTCAGTCTGGTTGAGTGCCATGCATCTGCTGCTGCAGTAGTTGCAGTTGTGCCTTCAGCGCTTGACGGTTCGAGAGTTGATCTTCGGTTGCCTCGCGGCCGCACACTTCCATTCGTGTGTATACTCTCTCTCTCTCTCCTTCTCTTCCTCAGTCAGTGGTTCGCGCCTTGGTCGCGTTCGTCGCCTCGTCACTGAGCCATCATACCATCATCTCTCGCCGCTCTCTCTCTCCGCCGTTCTATCTGCGCCCAATGTCGAACAGCGTAGAATGCACTCGCCACTGAATGTGTGTGTATGTGTGTGCCGCAGGTAGCAGCAATGGCCACAGTTGGGAGGCTGCTGAATATAGCTACCGCCGATCGATTGCCATCTGCCATGAACAGCCCCACTGAAGACACTAGTGCATCAACGTGCTCTGCCACCACACTACTGCTGGCAGCAAAGCCAGCTCGTGCTGGTGGGCGTCCATTGCCTGATGCCATTGGTGCACAGTGCACTCTGCGCCGTTCTCTGCTCTGCTCTGCTCTCACTGGCCTCCACCGAACACTGCTCATCGCCACCGCCGGGCTGGGCCCGAACATGTTTGAACAGCACTGACTGGAAAAAGTACACTCGGGTCCCTAGGTTCTCCCAGTGAAATTCACATTGAAACCACACCGAAACGCAGTGTCGCTAGCAAAGCTGGCACTAAACTAAATAAGAATAGTTGAGCTGAACATTGGCGGGAGATGTGCGAGTGAACTGTGAGTGAGCAGAGCTAGCAGAGTTAGCACTGCTTCAAAGGTTGATGGGTCGTTTGGCCAATTGATGGCTTAGGCCGCATTAATTTGACGCGGTATCACATCGTAAAGATCATTATGGCTTGTTTTGTCTTCATCGTAATGACGCGTACTTTGTGTCTTTTTCTCCTTCCCTCGCAGTGTCTGCTTTGATTAAATTGTTACGGTTTGTAGTGACAAATGGTGAGATTCAATGGCAAGCATAAAAGAGCGCCCAGCAAGAGCACACTTTTTAGTGTCCTCACTGGCACTTTTAGAGGCTCATTAAGGGCTGTCAGAGGCGCCAGAAGCAGCACCAAGGCACACTCAGAGCACACTTTGATTGACTGCCAGTGCTCTGGCTCCTTGGACTCACAAGCAATCAAACTTACCTTGACATTAGAAACCCACAATCGCTTGGCAAGAAAACAGAATCGAAATTCTTTAGAGCATCAAGATTCATCAAAATTGCTCACCGAAAAGGATATAAAAGGCTTACCATGAAAAACTAATGTGATTATGTGCTCGCGATAATTTTCCTGAAATGATTGCAATTTTACATTTTGTCGCCGATTAGTGACTCCAGTAATCATCGTCACCGGAGTGCATTTATTAGCCAAGCAAGAGGATCAACTGAACTGATTTGCTGCCTCTTATTCTTTTACTTGCAGCCAGTCAGCAGTGATTCTGGCTTATTTTGATGATGAGCCCAAAACACATTGGACAGCATTGGACATTGGGAAAGAACGGTGGCACTGCCCAGTTGTGCCAAAGCAACCAGAGCAGCACCATAGTGCACCCTATAGCATGGCGCACTCTGGTTGCCTGACCACGCCTGGCGACGCTGTCCTGCGCAATGCTGTGCTGCACTGACAGTGCCTAATCAGGCAGCTGCCTACTGCATCCAAATATGTGCTAGCCATAATTGGCATTGTTTTTTATTTATTAAAGTAAAGTGATGCTTTGTGATGAACCAAGTTTAGTGCCGTGTCAGTTGTTGAGGCGCAGCGCTTGCTCGGTGCCTGGGTATTCGGGTAAATTAAGGCCGTATTTGGCTGCCAATGAGGGAGGTACAAACCGACCGCCGAGCCAGTGATAGCTTCCAGTGAAGTGCGTGGCACATGTTTTCGGCGCCGTAAGTGACACTAGACAGTCAGGTTGAATCACCGGAGTCTGTCCATCAGTTGAGGGTCCATTTTCAACATGCCAACCGCTTGGAATGTCCACGCAGACCAGTTTATGTTCATTAGGATTGAGAGTGGAGAGCTTCTTTAAAACCTCACTAAACTCTGCTCTCACTGGTGGGCGGAAGCTGAAGCCAAATAGAGCGTCCACTACAATCTTCACATCGTTCCACTTGATTGAGTTAAAGTCGGCAAGAAAGGGAATATCCATTTTGTTGCACTGTGTTACCAGATTCTCAAAAAGTTGACCCTTTCCTGCTTTTGGATACAAAATCAGTGGCTTGTAACCCTAAAATTTAAAAGTTAAAACTGACTAAGTTGTTCCCACCAGTTCAGTTTGCCTTACAAACAGTTTGAGGTGTCGAGCAGCAACGAGACCATCACCACCATTGTTTCCAGGTCCACAAATCACCAGAACGCTATGGTCCTTTGATGCCGCGTCATCGTATGACTTGGCGATGCTCACAGCCACACTAAGACCGGCCAACTCCATCAACTGGTCAACACTGAAAGCATATTCATTGAACAGCTCTTGATCAATTGTGATCGCTTCTTGTTGACTGTTGTTCCAAAAACAAATTGACAGTTAGTAAATGAACAAAATGTTTTTCATACAAAATCTCAAATCGGCATCTATCTGCATCTACCTAACGTGCTTTAAAGTGGACTTTTGAGCAAATGTTGCAGCTCTAAAATGGAAAGTGTTCGGCGCAACACAAAGAAAAGGATGCGGTTGAAATTCAAAACATTTGCCGGAGTTAGTGAGTGGAATCGCTGTGAATCGCCTGATGGATTTTGCCGTTGACAACAGACAATCAGATCATTTAGCACATCAGTTGAGCAGTCTTACCTAAGAAGTTTGAGCGTCATTCTCCAATACCAAGAAGATAACCAGGACCAATAAAAGATAAAACGTTTTAAAGTTTTGCAATGTTTTTACCCAAAAAACATAAACAAAAAGTGTAACACAGTTTTTAAAACAGTGCTGCCATCTCTACCACCTGGCTGACCGTTTGGCTGAAGAGAGAAAGCTCACCTCTTTGTTTTGCTCACTGTCCTGCCGCATGTTTTGCAGCCCCAAACCGACTCAGCCTCCAAGTTGTTCCATCTGGGATTGTTGACTCCCTTCCAGACTTTCCCCAGTGGACTGCCCTCACCTTTGTGTCCACAGTATCCATTGTGTGTGATTCAGCACGCGTGTAGACGGAGCAACTCCCTGAACACTGTAAAGTCTGCTTTGGAAACAGTTGAAAAACGGTGATTTTTCAAGTTCTTTTTAGAGAATCTCAGAAGATTTCAGCAGGATCTCCCTTCCACTTTGTAGACTGACAGCGTGAAAAGATGGCCCTTGATCAATCTCGATTCGGCACTCGTATCAGCCTGAGCGACCGCTTTTCTATGGTTCGCAAAGAAGCGGCTAAACGATCTATTGTTGTGAATCCCAGTGTTGATGCCTCCCCTACCGTGCCTCGAAATGGGAACAAGGTCATGAAGGACTTCAACGGCACTTACACTCGCGCCGACCGACCTTCGGCAATTTTGCAGCAAGGTTCGGAAAGAAACAAACGACTGGTCTATCAGATGGCTTTGGCTCCTTCGGTTCTGGCTGAGATCAATCAGTCGTACGAACCACAAATTCGCGCTCAGCTCCCTCCTTTGATCTACCAAAAGCCGCCTATGAGAAGCCCTGCTGTTTACCGTCCACCAGTAGCTCAAAGTAACCTTCGCCAAAGTCAATTGGTTGCTCCTCAACAAAAGAAAAACATCAAACAACGCTTGGGCGGTACCTCTGGTGGTGGAGCCATTGGAGGAAGAATCAGCATAAAATACCGACTTGGCGTTAAGCGTACTCCAGTCACTCAGCGAATCGGGCTGCCGAAAGTTGCCCCAACTGGTAATATTTTTTATTTTAGCCGCTTTTCAGTTTTGACCATATTTTAATACTTTTGTTCACTTTAGGAACCCAGAACAAAAATCGCAATATCGTGAGAAATGGAAACCAAATGCGTCTGAAGAATACCATGGCTTTCAAAAAGAAGAACTTTGTCCCCAAATTTAATCAAATGAATGTGAAGCAGAATGGGACAAAGGCTTTGCGCGGCAACAAACCGATTGGTCGAAAGCCTGTTCCTTCAAAGCCAGTGACTGCTGCTCAGCTGGACAGTGATCTGGACGTCTACATGCGAAACACCAAAGGATTCTTAAACAATGATCTCGATGTTTATATGGCGCAGGTTTAACTGAATTGATCACAGCCTGTCTTTTCTACAACAACTTTTCTTTGTTTAATTCAAGACCGATGATCGTCTATTCTTTCGTTGGAACAACGGGCAACACAACTGAAAATTATGATTTTCATTACATTTGGTTAGCGACTGAAACACTAACACACTCATACATTTCAGTTGTTGTATAATTTGAAATTTTCATTTGTCAATTTGAACACTCGGAACTTTGAACACTTATAGTCTTCAGGCTTATAAGAATAAAATATTTATTATCCCACCAAATGAAAAGAATACGTTTCTGATTGGATTTGACAGAATCGGCGCTTCAGCTCTTTGGTTTGCCACAGCAGAGGGCGCTTTTACATTGCCCATTTCTACCCAAATGGACGCCGGCATCGCTGTGTGACAAAGTGATTTAGCAAAATCTTCTGTTGTTGACTTCAATCTTTTCTTGTCATTCTTCACTGTTGATTTCCAACAATCGCTCCAAATGGCTTCCGAACGTTACAGTTTTTCACTGACCACCTTCAGGCAAGTTACACTCAAAACTCAGAAGATTCTTCTAAACTAACACGTACATTTATTCAACAGCCCGTCTGGAAAGCTTGTCCAGATCGAGTATGCTTTGGCAGCTGTTGCCTCTGGCGCTCCGTCGGTCGGAATCAAAGGTGCGTCAAAACAGTTGTTGGAACCGATCCCAAAACGTGACAGTAGCTAATTCTTCATTTATCATTTATCAACAGCCGTAAATGGCGTCGTCATTGCTACTGAGAAGAAGCAAAAGTCGATCATCTCTGAGGAGCACAGTATCTTCAAAGTGGAACAGGTCACCGACCACATTGGCATGATTTACAGTGGCATGGGTCCCGATTACCGTCTTCTCGTTCGTCGAGCTAGGAAGATCGCCCAGCAGTACCAGCTGATTTACTCGGATCCCATTCCGACCACTCAACTTGTGCAACGTGTCGCTCAAATTATGCAGGAGTACACTCAGTCCGGTGGTGTCCGTCCATTCGGCGTCTCTTTGCTAATCTGTGGCTGGGACAACGGGCGTCCTTATTTGTTTCAATGCGATCCATCGGTATGTTTCTATTAGCATTTTGTTTGTTTTGCCGAGTATTCAATCTTTAAAATTACAGGGCGCTTACTTTGCTTGGAAAGCTACTGCTCTAGGCAAGAATCACGTCAATGGCAAGTCCTTTCTCGAAAAAAGGTTGGTGTCTTTTTGATGATTGGGTTTCTTTTTTATTCAAACGTTGTTTTTTTTGTTTCACAGATACAGCGAAGATCTCGAGCTAGAAGATGCTATTCAAACTGCAATTTTGACTCTCAAGGAAGGCTTCGAAGGACAGATGACGCAGGACAACATTGAAATTGGAATTTGCAACAAGAGTGGCTTCAAGCGACTTACTCCAGCCGAAGTAAAGGACTACCTCGCCACAATTGGATAAAAATGTCGCGACATGATTCGCGGGGTTCTGTGCTTGTATTAAATTTATTCTGATTTTTATTTTTACAATAACACATGTGTGCAGAAGCACTTTATCTTCTCATAAATCTTAGAAATTCACAAAAGGTCATTTGTATGATGTTTCCTGACCGTCGGGCAAATTGCTGCTCTCTCACACCACTTTGTTGAACTCTGCCCTCGGCGGGCAAGTCAATGAACTTGTTNATTGGAATTTGCAACAAGAGTGGCTTCAAGCGACTTACTCCAGCCGAAGTAAAGGACTACCTCGCCACAATTGGATAAAAATGTCGCGACATGATTCGCGGGGTTCTGTGCTTGTATTAAATTTATTCTGATTTTTATTTTTACAATAACACATGTGTGCAGAAGCACTTTATCTTCTCATAAATCTTAGAAATTCACAAAAGGTCATTTGTATGATGTTTCCTGACCGTCGGGCAAATTGCTGCTCTCTCACACCACTTTGTTGAACTCTGCCCTCGGCGGGCAAGTCAATGAACTTGTTCTAAATAGAGCAGTGATGTCCGCGTCTGATGCAATAGTGCTGCAAAGTTCTTATCGTGTTCGCTTCTGAATGAAGTGATGATTTTGCAATTCATAGTAAAGGTCATTTGGCATAAGAGTAAAAGGTTTCCGATTTATAAAAAGATTTTGGATCACATTGGACAGGCGCTCAATTTTCAGTGCACCGTAGAGGACGTCGTTTGTGAAAGTGGGCTTTGTGAAAGTGTTTGTAAACAAGTTGCCGTTTCTGAAAAACGCCTGTCAGATATTTGGTCGTCAAGAACGGTGATTTCTGGTACAGTCTTCAATTCGGACGAAACTGNGTGCACCGTAGAGGACGTCGTTTGTGAAAGTGGGCTTTGTGAAAGTGTTTGTAAACAAGTTGCCGTTTCTGAAAAACGCCTGTCAGATATTTGGTCGTCAAGAACGGTGATTTCTGGTAGTCTTCAACTCGGATGAAACTATTTCTCTAACTGTAATAAACCAATAAGATGGCTTTCCTTCAGGTTTGTTTGATGCTCTCTCACCTGAGTCAAAAGTGTAAAGCTCAATATCTTTTCAGTGGAGGCGTTTTAATTTTTTTGAAAAAGACTTTATTTCTGGACTGAAAGACTCGTTTGTTGAACTGGTCAAGGTTTGTTTTAGTGTGAATCATTGTGAATCATCAGAAAATATAAATATTTTATATTTACAGTCCTCTCAAATAACGTGTTCATCATCTGGACATGGATATCTTTTATTTGGCGACATTTCAGGCGCCGTGTATCTGGTTTCTCGACAACATAAAGTAAAAATGTTCAGTTTTTTGTTTTATAACCTCATAATTACATTTGTTTTCGCCAGGTGTTCTCATTTTCTGCTTATAATGTTGCTGTTACACACTGCTCAGCGATCGTCAATCGAGGAAGCACCGGCGCGTCGCAGCCATCATCTACGGCAAGCAATTCCAAGCTACATTTAGTCACAATCGGAACTGATAGTGATGACCTGCTGCCAGTGCTGAAAGTGTGGCGAATCAATGAATCGGCTCTCACAGCAGACAAGGAAGATAACCTCTTTCAATCTTCAGCACACACCGAAATCGCTGAAGGTTTAGAGGCAACTGAACAAAACAGCAGCACTCCCATTGGCGCCTGTATCCGTAGCATCAAGCTTAGTCCGAGCACACCACAACTGACAACCCTAAGCCCACAAGTTTCTGTTACGGTGCTTGATGTACTGAATGATTCCCTGGTTGCTGTGGGCTTTAACGATGGCCACTGTTTGACAGTACGGGGCGAGCTGACGCGGGATACGCGAAATATCAAGATGAAACTACTGGAGGTTTCCTCAGGCGGCAGCTCAATCACAGGTGTGGCTTTCTCTAGCTACACACAGGCCTACAAGGCTACATCAAAAACTTTCCGAACATTCAATACCAACACCTCAGGAACACGACAGCATATCATACTTTTCGTGTCGACTCGAAATGAAATTTGCTCTTTTGATCTCACAAACCGAGACTCTAAAGAGAAAGAGCCCAAAATTATCTTAGGTTTGTGATGTCCACGGGTGTGATGGTATGTTCCATACTTTTTTACTTTCAGACTCTTTTGGCTGCGACATTGGCTGCAGCTGTCTGAAGCGGGACCCAAAACAGCTTGAATCGATACAGTTTATTGTCGGGCGGAATGACGCCATCTACTTCTACAACATCGACGGACGCGGTCCATGCCTCGCTTATGACGGGCAGAAGTCATTTCTTTACTGGTTCAGGAACTACCTGGTGGTAGTGACGGTGAATGATTTGAATCGGATGACCCAGTCGCCCAACAACACAAACGAGTCCTCTTCCACAGCATCATCATCATCACTTCTGGCCAATCTCACACCTAACCTCATTACCATCTACGACATATCTCGCAAGTTCATCGCCTTTTCATGTCCCATACCTGCTGTGAATCAGGTTATCTCAGAGTGGGGCCAGCTGTACATTCTGACGGCGGACAAACGCGTCTGCGTATTCACTGAATGCGACACGCAGACAAAGCTGGAGTTGCTCTTTCGAAAGAATCAATTCTCACTGGCAATTGATCTAGCAAAGGCGCAGACGTACAGTCCCGACTCTCTGGCGGACATGTTCAAGCAGTACGGTGACCATCTCTATTCAACGGGCGACTTTGATGGGGCCATCAATCAGTACTGTCAGACGATTGGCATTCTAGAGCCGTCCTATGTGATACGGAAGTTTTTGGACCTGCAGAGAATCCACAATCTAACGGCGTACCTGCAAGAGCTGCACAAGCGGCGAGTGGCCACCGAAGACCACACTACCCTTCTCATTAACTGCTACGTCAAGCTAAAGGATGAACAAAAGCTGAACGAGTTTCTCCGCTCTTCAGACATTGTCTTTGATGTGGACATTGCTATTCGGGTACTGCGCCAAGCTGGCTACTTTGACAATGCGGTCATGCTGGCAAAGAGACACGGTCGCTATGATGCATACTTCTGTACACTACTCGAAGACAAGGCAGACTTCGGGAAGGTTCTGGAAACGTTCAAAGAACTGCTCGATGAGGAGAAGGAGGACATTGTCAGTCAGTATCTTAGCAAGTACGGACGTCTTTTGATGGCCGATGAGCCAGATCAAACAACACAACTTTTGAAGACGCTTTCGGCGTATTTGCTGAAACAGAACGTCAAAAGTCGATCAATCATTCCACCTGCCACTCAAGGCTCAGGTAAGTTTTGTATGTTTTCTGGATTGATCTGCTACAAAGCCAATAATATCCTTTTAGACTTGAACGATGTCTTTGACATTGCCAACCTTGCTTCGGCTTTAAATGACGACAGTCTCTATGATTCAGAGTTTAAATGTGAAAAGTTTCTGCACATTTTTCTAAACCATCCGACAAAGCTCATAGAGTACCTGGAGTTTATCATTAATGAATCAAAGTCAATTGTTGATGCTGAAGGGAACAGTATTCCTGTTCCGTTTGAAATAAGCAACACACTGCTAGAGATGTACCTCCACTCGTACAAAAGTCAAATAAAAGAAGACGTAAGTAAAGAAGTTTGTTTGGTCGATCATACCAATAAAAACATTTCATATATTTGTAGGGTTTGGCAGAGAACGAGGCAAAGATTATGAACTTTCTGCAAAATGAAGGTGCACACTACGACTCGAAAAAAGCGATGATCATCTGCCAGATGAGCAACTTTACCCCTGGAGTCCTTTACCTCTACGAGCAGAGTCAGATGTTCAAGCAGATTCTGGCACACTATGTTTCCCGTGCTGACAGTGACAAGGTGATTGAAATCTGCCAGCAGTACAGCAAAGAGGAGCCCAATCTGTGGGTGGACGCACTGTGGTATTTTTCAGAAGTGTACAACGACGGGCAAGAGGCAAACACTTTACTGGTTTTGGAAGGTAAGTAATGGAGCGGCGTTACTTTTGTATAATTTTTACGATCGGAAAATTTTTATTTAGAAATTGAGCGGCGGCAGCTGTTGCCGCCGTTGATGGTGGTGGAGATTCTGTCGAAGCACAGTAAGGTGGCACTGGGTGTAGTACGCGACTACTTGATGCGCTGGATCAGCGCTGAACAGGAGCAAATCGAAGAAAATGAACGGCAAATTGAAGCGTACCGAGAAGAGTGCGACAAGATTCGAGTTCAAATTGAGGATATCAGAGATAAACCTCACGTTTTCCAGGCGTCCAAGTGCTCCGCTTGCTCTCACCCACTGGAGTTGCCCTCGGTGCACTTTATGTGCGGTCATTCCCTCCACGACACCTGCTTTGAGAGCTTCAATGGAGAGAGTGAAGAGAACTGTCCGCTCTGTCTGGACAAAAATCGGTAAGTCTACCCTGATGAAGCTCTGTTTCATTGGTTGGCTAACCATTTTTTCACGTAGTAAAATACTGAATGAAATCAGCCTGTTTGACAATGTGAAGAACGTTAATGAGCTGTTTCAGCAAGAACTAGCCGAGACGAAGGACCCATTTGATGTGATAGCTCGATACAGCAGTCAAGGTCTGTTCAACCCGCTGACCGTAATCACCGATGACGGTCTCATACAAACGCAAGGTCAGGTCAATGCGAGACGTTAGGTTCATCAGTTTGCCAATTATTTAATTGAATAAAATGTTTTACTTTAGTATTACCCGCTTTCAATTTATTTGTGAGCAAAAACTGCATCGAGGTAGTGGGTTGTTTGGTGGCTAGTTTTGAAAGGCAATGGTAATTTGATAATAAAGGAAATTTTTGGGAATAAAGGGTACAAATGAAAATAATACTTTGGCTAGGAATTAAAAGGGGGTGTGTGTTAGGTGATGATGAGTAAGTATAGGGTGCGAGGAGGAATGGTGAGGTTTGAGAAGCTTGCTGGTTGCTTGGCTGGTTCTTGAAGGTTGCTGCTGCCGCTCGGTGGGGGTCGATTAATTGGTTAGGTGGGGGAGGTGGTGGTAATGGGCGGATGGATCCTTTGTGTCAGCACTCGGTGACCGCTAATCCGCGACCAATTAGCGGCCAAAGATTTCGTCGACAAAGCCAAGAAGCTTTTTCTTTTCGTGCGACAGCTTCAAAGCGTCGACGCAGCTTCCAAAGACATCATTGCGAAAGCAGTCTTTTCTAAAGAAGGAGGAGGAGGAGGAAGGGGAGAGAAAAGGGCAATTGAACAGATTAGTTATGATGAGATTAAGAGATCAGCTAATTGGAGAACAGTGCACTCGATGCTTTTTCTCTTTCTTGGACAATTGCCACTGGTGCACTGCCCTGGGTGAATTGCCTACTGCCAATTGCTCTCCTGCTGCTAATGCTAATGCTGCCAAACGTGCTAATTGGCACGTTGCCATCATACGATCGCACGCGATGAGGATGCACTGCAGCAGTGCAGCACACGTTGGCCCATTGACACTTTAGCAGACACTGAGCAGAAAATGTCTTCAATGAGAGCGCAGTCTGTGTGTGTGCGTGTGTGTGTGCAGTCCGGTGGCCTGTAATTACCTGCTGAAGAATGCGAATGACTCACAATCGGCCGAAATGCGACCACTGCCACTGACAAGCAGCACTGACTGAGGGCGATTGGTCTGAGGCAATGCGCCCTCGGGCACTGATCATTAGTACTGCTTTAGACTAACTAACGAGACATGCTAAGTAAGACAATTGAGAGGCAGCGGTCGGCCGCGGCGTTGGCAGAATGTGCTGTCCAGTGCAGCAGCAGCAGCAGCAGCCACCTCCGAGCCAATCAGCTCAATGATCAGTAGCGGCGGTGTGCGAGTCATCATGTCAGGCTGCGACCTGTCCTCGCTCTTCGTAGTCGTGGCTAAAACGTGGCCGCAACGTCACACTCAAGAATTCAATGAATTCGCCGCCGCCGCAAAAAGGCGCGCGCTGAGGTAGGGAGTGCAGAGAGTGGAATGCCAGTGTCGGCGGCATCCACCGGACACTGCGCCGCTCGGGGAAAGGGTGCACTGGGAAAGTAGAGCGACCTAGCGGAACTGCTGCTAAAACTATGCCTAGGCGCAAAAAAGAGTAAAGAGGAAGATAGAAGTACTCACCGGCAGCTAAAGTTGAGTTCCGGTTCGCGATAGACTTGGTAGCACTCCTCGCAGATGCGATCCAGTTCTACAAACTTGGAAATGTCGTACTCTCCAAGGCAGCCAAGCAGGGAAAAGCTTCTCGATTCGCTGTTTATGACAAAAGCTGCCATAAACAGCAAGAAACTGATGAAAAGTGTACCCCTTCTGGAAACCGATTTATTCCTGATAAGGGAAGAGAGATTAGGGCTTACAGTAATTAGCGGTTGATCACTGGCAAAAGTCAGTGGCCGATGAAGGGGACCGCCAGCCGGCTGGTGGTCGACGATCAGTATCAGCACTTACATTAAAATGGGCGATTAATGCACCAAGAGGAAAAAGAGTGGACAATGGTGTGGATGACGAAGTGCTGAGGACGACTGCTGCTTCTTGAATGGGCGCCAAATGAGCTAGTGTCGTGAAGAGTGCTCTTTGCTGAGATAAAGAGAGAGAAAGAGAGAAAGAGAGAAAGAGAGAAAGAAAGAAAGAGAGAAAGAGAGAAAGAGGGAGAGCCTACTGGAAGTTAATCAGTGGTCTGAGCGTGTGTATGACTACCACTGTGACTAACCGTACACTGCGCTTTTATATGCGACCACAGCGGTGGTGGTAAGACAAGGGTCGTGTCAAAAGGTGCTGTCCCGTCTACTGCCACTGCTGCCACTGCTGCTGATCCCCATCGAGGAGGAATTCAATTCGTCCGTCTGTGTCTCTATGTGTGCAAGTGTGTGTCGTCTTCGAAACGTCGAGAAGAGGCAGAGAGGACGACTTAGTTGGTAGAGCCGGAGAGAGGCTGCTGCCTCTGTGCTCTTCTACTGCTGTTCCTACTGCTGCTGTCACAAATGAGTGTGAGTGAGTGCGAGTGTGTCCACTGTCAGTGGTGGTGCTGGTGCTGGTGAGGCGGGAGATAAGGTAGATTGAACGACCAAGGCGAGAAGGAGAAGAGCCGATGATCACCGCCGCCCGAGCACAGGCCGAGGCACACATCACAATGAAGATGCTTCATACGCTCTCTCTCCTTCGGAGCAGGAGAAGCACAGGCACTAGTGGTTGCCCTTTCGTGCTTGCCTCAACTGCTTAGGAACTCCTTCATCCGGTGGCGTGATTTTTCCGCTGCCTGCTGTCAGCCTCCATTATGTCCGTCCGAGTGAGGTGAGCAAGCGTTAGCAGAATGGAACTGCAGAATGGCGCAGGGAGAGGAAAGGTGGATGACAATGCTCGATTGCACTCCTTTGTGGTGAACTCGGAAAATGAGAAAGGGAGCAAGGGAAAGAAAAAAGAAAAGGCAGTCTCAACTTTAACCTGATGTGACGATCGGCAGTGGTGCACTTCCATTGCAACTAGTTTCCCTGAAGGGAAATGGCATTGTGTTGAGAGGCAGGGAGAGCGTGAGCTGATAGAGAACGTTTATTCAACTAAAACTAGAGAATAACTAACTCACTACAGTGAGATACACCACTCTAAACATAGTGGGAGAACAATACTTGCAAGCTCTAAAATCACAGAGGTTCTAAGACCTAACGCATTGTTTGATGTGGTTGTGGTGCTGGTGGTGATGCCTGACTTCAGGAAGACAGACTAAAGCAACCACTAAATATAGCTCGGACAATTGACTCACTGGCAGCGAACAGTGTCTGACCAAATTGTCCTGCTTGTTGGCCACTGGCCAGTTTTTTTTGGTGCTCATCAATGAAAGTGTTTCATGAGGGCATCATTGAAGTGCACTGAACAGTGCTATCGGGTGACTGGCAGGGCGCCAAAGACGACACTTGGCCAATGACCATCGGCCGAATCGCCTGCACTCAATTGCCACTGCTTGCTGGGGGATGCTGGCTTAGCAGATTAGCAGTAATCTTACTTCAGCTTCAGCTCCTACAGGGCATCACTCATCAGGTGTCCATCGAACGTCGGTGGATGAATGATGAGCCACTACCTTTGCAAGTCACTTTTTTGGGCATTTTTCCTTTGCCTTGAATGCGTCCGCTGCAATTGGAAATGTGTGCATGTTCGACAATATACTCTACACGTTCACTACCTCACTTATCTGTCCTTCCCCGCAACGCAGATGCGCTGTGCCGGCAACCGACGATCGAAAGCAGTGACAAGCTGTGCTCCTTACGGAGCAAACAAACAACACGAGCTGCTGCAAGACCAAATCTGGTCTTTCGGTGTTTGCCCAGATAAGAAAGAAAGAGAGGTTGCAGATGATTAGATATCCACACACATCTTGCCAGTTGGTTCGCATGATCTTTCAGCTGAGATTGTAAGGGAGAGAGAGGTAATGGTAAGTATCGGTTGAATCGATCAGGGCCTATCACGTCGATCACTATCACCACATCGCAGGCCAAAATAGAAATTGGCATGCGTTACTGTCACTCGAAAAGTGTGTCTCTCCACTGGTATGTTTGCGAACACGTAACAAGTCCTGGTAAACAAACAACTGTGAAGGGGAAGTGGAAAGTGAAGTCAACAAGTCACTGGTTTGGGTTTTGGCAACCTGTTTGGCCTTCGATTGCAGCACCATCACTCTTTCCGGATGGGCTGGAGATCTGTGCAACTTTCTGCGCCCTCACGACCATTGCAAAGTAGTTCATCATTGTGGGGAAAATGAAATTTTTGGCCATTTTTTCGCTTGGGGGATTTTCCTTGCACAATGCTGCTGCAACTGTCGGGTTTTGTTAGCGGCAGTGCGCGCGCTTGGCCCAATTAGCGGAATACCAGCGGACACTGCAGCGAAAGAGAGAGAAAGCCATTTGCCTTCGCTCGCCTTCGATTCAAAGCCACTGTGGTGTCTGACGCAATGCATCGACAAGGAGGAGGAGGTGGAGTAGGCAATCCCCCTGATCGAGTGGCCGTCCGTCAATCAGCCGTCATCTAAGGGGCAAGCATGGCGAGTGACTCACGTGACTTGTGTCAGGTTGCCGCCGGTCGAGCTCCTTCGCTCCTCTTCTTTCTCTCTTTTTACCGGTAAGTGGAGCGGCGAGGATGGCGCCTGACTAACAGCTGACAATACGTCTGTTTGTCTGACCGAGCAGATCAGATCAGGTTTCCGCCAATTGATCGGCGATGGTACTTTCTATTCGATTCACCAAAACAGACCAGTTACAAGGGGCACTGATCTGCAGGTTTTGATTGCATCGCCTGCTGCTGCTGATCAACGGGTTGATTGGTGAATATTTGAATTTGCCGCCAGTGGACGCCACTGCAGAGGGCGCTTGTCAACAAAAAAAATCACATGGCCTGAAAGATTTGCATAAGTCAGCGACAGTTTGAAGCCGCCTTGTATTATTCTGACAGTTGATGAGAAAGCAAGCAAGCATCAGAATGAGTGAAAACAATTTTGAGGTGATCAATGACGACAATGACAGCAATGACAGCGTTCCTTCGGATCTGTCATTTGAGTTCACCGGAGAGAACTGTCAGAAACGAGTTGATGAGTTTGTCGCCATCACCTATACAAACGATGCACTGGCGCAGATGTTTCTTCAGGACCGCAAGTGGAACGTCGCTCGGTCAGTCAACGATTACTTCAATGAGCTGACTGCCGAAAATGAGAAAAAGATGAAAAAGCAACTCAAAGATGACAGTGATAGTGAATCGGATGAAAAGGAGGACGATGAAGATGAAGATGATAAAGTTGCCAGGTGAGTTTTGTTCTGTTATAATTTACACTTTAATGAGTCATACTGTTTTTTGCAGCTTCAAAAAGCAAAAGCTGGAAGCTGGGCCAAGTGCGCCGAAAGTTGAATCTGATGAAGCCACAGGCAGTGAAGGAAAGCAACAAAAGCTTTTTCGCCACATTACCTGGTATGTTTGAATTCGAAAGTACTTGACTTTTCAACAGTACTTGACGTTTCTGGTTGTTTAGGAATATCGATGGACTGAACGATAAGAACCTCAAGGTTCGAACTGAGGCTGTTTGCAGCCGCATTGTCAAGGAAAAAGCATCATTTGTTTTTCTTCAAGAAATTACCCAAGAAAATGAGGGAATCATCCGTGCAAAGCTGAAGGACAGTTTTGAAATATTTTCTGGTAAAACTTATGAAGGCGGGTACTACAGCTTGACATTGGTCAGCAAAGAACCGTTCATAAAAGTCCAAAACAATGAAATCATCAACTTCCCAAGTATTATGGGTCGAAATCTTCTGCAGACTAACGTATGTTGACGGCAATTAGAGATTCAAATAATCTGATGAGAATTTCTTAAGGTCACTCTCCACGATGCAAAGATTTGCCTTTTGAATACCCATTTGGAGAGTACAAAAGAAGGCGAAGCCTATCGTATACAACAACTGTCATCCATGCTAAATCACATTAAGAAAATTGGCCCTGATGTCACGGTTATTGCTGGAGGCGATCTCAATCTTCGTGACAAAGAGGTTTGTGACGACGATGTGGGTGTCGTTTATTGCTAATTTTTGTTTTTAAATAGCTTGCTGGAATTGGGGGATTACCGCCTAACATCGTCGATGCCTGGGAAGCATCTGGTAGTCGCAAAGAACTTCAATTCACTTGGGATATGATGCGCAATGATAATTTAAACTTCCAGTCTGATTCAAAAGGTGGATGGAAACCAAGAATGCGTTTTGATCGAGTATTTCTACGCCGAACTAGCCCTTCAACTCGAATTGATCTGGTTCACTTTGGTCTCATCGGCTTGGAGCGCCTTAAGCCGCACGTCTGTTTTCCTTCTGATCACTGGTCGATTATCACTTCATACCAGATTTTCAACTAGGAAAGAGGGAGATTCTATTTACTGATTCGCATACTTGCAATGCATTTTTACCCATATCGAACTCTGCTGTAGAGAAACAGTATTTCTTTTAAATTCCAATTGTTTTCATTACTACACCTGTGGTGCAAGTAACGTGTATAAAACCAACTGCTTGACGAATCACCAGTAAACACAAAGCTTAGTCAAGCCAGCATGTTTCTAGGCTACCAGCAACTTCGCATTAAGCGCAGTGATGATGCGCCCAAAGTGATCCCTCTTCCACGCACCAAGCGTCGTCGTGTGAGGCAGAAGGAGCCTCCTGTCGTCGTGCGCCCTGCCACACCCGCTCCGCTTCCTCCTCAAATTGATGCCAATCGACTGGTTACTCAGAGTCAGACTGAGGCGATTCTTCAACAACTCTTTGAAAAGCATGACCAGACAGTGGCACACATTGAGAAAAAGCGAGAAAAGGCTCGAGAGGGCACAACTGCCTACTTTCACCGCAAAGTCCTCAATCAGGTGAGTTCAGACAATCAATATTTGAAGACAACAAAAAGCCTAAACTCATGCTATTCCTTTTCTTGTTTGCTTGAAATGTTGAAGCTGAAGCCACTGTTCAAAGAGTGGCTTGAGATTCGCGCCGACTTTCACTTTCTCCGCGGGGACGCTCGCAAGCTGGTGGACGCCGACGCGAAGAAGCTTCGCCAGCGCAATGAATGCCTGAAGAAGTACCTCTCCACGTTGAAGAGCAGTGTCTCTCGTCCTGATGAGTGCTCCAAGACGCTGAAGAAGTTCATCACCTGGCTGATTGGCGAGGTGGGCAAGAGCAATGAGGCGATTCTCCGGGCGGCGCCCAAGCCTCAGAGCGGCTCTTCAGGCAGCTCGGGACAGTCCAGTCGGCAGTCTGGCGGTGGCCATGGTGGCGGCCACCACCACCGTGCTCAGGAGGGCGGCTCACAGAGGACTCAAGCCTCGGGTGCCAGTGCCAGAGCCGCCCTTCCCGTCAGTGGCGGACAGCAAAGGAAGTAGAGCAGGAGAGAAGCTGCTGCTGCTGCTGCTGCTTCACCACCAACAATTGATATTTACTTTTTACATATCTTTATGATTATTATTATTAGTATTACTGGAAACGGTAGTACAAGTGCTGCAAATTACACACCAAGTGGAACACCATTGTGGTTGATAAAGGGTAAGGGAATAAGGTTGAAGAATTACTGACATGGTAGAGCTGGAGATAATACTTTGAAGAATAGTAAAGGTGCCGCTTTAGTTAGGGCGATGAGTCAGCTTTTCCATTAAACGGTCAAACCGCTTGCCCATCTGAGACAACTCACCCTGCAGATGCAGAACCTGCATTTTCAGTTGATCAGATTCAGATGGAGCGGAACTTTTAGATGAAGAGGAAGCCGATTTAGACGACTGACGGACTGCTTCAGCAGCTGATGAGGCCAGAGTGGGCGGAGAAGTCAATTGGGGAGAAGTCAACTGGGGAGAAGTCAACTGGGGAGAAGTCGACGGTTCCGCGTCCAAGTCNAGATGGAGCGGAACTTTTAGATGAAGAGGAAGCCGATTTAGACGACTGACGGACTGCTTCAGCAGCTGATGAGGCCAGAGTGGGCGGAGAAGTCAATTGGGGAGAAGTCAACTGGGGAGAAGTCAACTGGGGAGAAGTCGACGGTTCCGCGTCCAAGTCAATAACAAGTGGCTTTTTCAATTCAGCATTGCTTTCGGAGTTGCCGTCAGATTTGTGCTTCTTGTTTGGCGATGGGCTTTCTCCCACAGTCTCCGATGAGCTCGGCTGTTTGGGCTTAGAGACCGACCCTTCGTCTGGAACTGAATCATCAAGGTCAATAATTTCGGGTAAAGCAAGCTTTCTCTTTGTGTTTCCCGATCTATTCTCTTCGCCACAACTAATTCGTCGATGAATGGTAGCCGGGAGAGATTTAAGCCAAGTGAGAGAAGTACCAAATGGTGAAAGGCTTTTCTTAAAAGGAGTGCTTTGAATGGTTTCCGACACAATTAGCACACTGTCACCTTTCCCTTCTTCCTCCTTATCAACGTCAATAGTAGGTGAGTAAACTCTCTCAATGCGAGTCGTCAGCGGAGATTCAGCAGGCGAAGGAAGTGGTGGCATTGGTGTAACTAAAGTCGAAGAACTAGCCATTGGAATCTCCATAATCTCCATTGCGCTTGGCTCGTCATTTTCTGCTTCTTCTTCCATTTGTGGGTACTTTTTAGAAATGTACTTCCACAACTCAATACTATTCGGTTCTATGTTTTGACTGTGCAACTTGTGCTCCATTGGCCCCATATAGTTCCATATTGAATCACCCAAAGAGTTAAGTAGTGAATCAAGAAACTTTTTCAAACAGTCCAACCCAAAAGGATCGTCATGTATTTTAAAGCCTGAAAAAGATAAGAAGTTGTTAGTATTTAGAAAAAGATAAGGAAATCGGAAAACAGTACCGGAATATACTTCGAAAATTTCATAGATTTCCAGCAAAAAGATGGCGGTATGGTTGAGAAAAGTTTTGCTTAACAGCAGGCTCTTTGCACTGTTCAGCATTTTGCCGAGTACATTGGCGTAGATGGCTGGATAGTCAAATGGTGGCAGATCGGTGGCTGGCTTATTGATCGCTTTGAGGCTATACTTGTGCAGCAGTCGAAGCAGTGCCATAATAACTCGGACTTGTGGAAAGCCGTTGATATTCGAAGAAATAAGTGAATATTGTGAAACGAGTCCAGTCTCGAGAATGGAAATGAGATATCTGATACGCATTACTGAGTTTACACTAAACTCACTCTGGCCACCGACGACGGCTGAATAAGGCAAAATGCTCTCGAAAAGCGTTAAAAAGACTTCGAGCGAGACATTGCTAGTCAATGGCGAAAAATCCGTTTTTGAATTGATCTGACATGTTTCAATGAGAACATTGAAGAGTACCTCGACATAGTCATTCAGTTGACTTTCAAAAGTTGAATATGGTCCTTTCTGGTGATTCGGGAAATGAACTAGCCAAAAGATGCGAAGTTGCTTGGCCAGAGTCAGAAAGAGCTCATCAGCGTCCACCAAGTTGATAAACTGGTAAAGGCGGTCAGTTAGATGCTCAGATAACATTTTAAGTGCATCAGTAGCACTCTCAATACTGGAAGATGGGGTTTGCAGTGTTTTGAAAATGCTGTCCAGGTTGTCTTTGGTCGTCAAAACACTTGCCTGACTGTTGAGAATCTCAGCTTTCAGTTCGGCCATGATCTTTTCGGTCTTTTCCAGTGTCTGGGATATCTTGTCTAGGTTTAAAGGGCTAGACTCTAGGTTTTTGTGCTTGCTTTTGCGTTCGGTCGGATATGCCGGTGAGAGGAGACACTGCTCCAGCTGGTACAGCTTGCTCTTTGCATCATACAGTGCCAAGGATACATTTTCTTGGTGAGAATTAGGCTGAGCTACCACTTCTTTCAGCGCCACATGAAACTCTTTGCGTCCTGAATTTGAGGACAATGGGCTGCGATTCTGCTTAGGAGAGATTGATGGTAACAGCAAGCTTTTTGGAGACGAGTAGACGCTCCCAAATTGGCGACTCTCATTTGACGATTGTTCCTTTCTTTTAGGTAGCTTTTCAATCGGCATCAAGCTAAACTGTTTCCAGACGCGGGCGTGATATTGATCCATATTGTCGATTATGGCGTCAACATTTGTGTCACCTACAACACAGCCAATGCTGTCAACAATGTTCTTGACAAACTGCATCTTGCTCGGCTGCCTCTGGTGCAAAACCAGTCAAACTGACAGAACGATAGAGACTTTGAAGTTAGAGAGCCAGATGTTGGATGGGATTGGATTGGATTGGATGAGCAAGTTGCTCGAAGCACAACTGCGCACTGAATTTTTGGACATCAAAACAATCAACTGCGCCATCAAACGAATAAACTAGACATTAATTTTCCTCAAAGCAAAATTGGCAAAATCAATTTGAAGTAAATGTTTTGGAACCAAATGATCCACCTGTTTTCTGCCAAAACCAAATAGCCATGAAAAATAAAGCACTATTTGCCTACTGTAAAAAATGAACACCTTTGAATGAAAAGTTCTAATACAAAAATTATTTTAAAAGTGTGGTTAGTCTGAAAGACTTGCTCTAAAAAAGTAATTCTTAGCAAAGATGTTTGTTTTAAGGGATTTTTGTTTCAATTTAATTAAACTGTTCACATTTGTTCCCTAAAGCATCTAGTGAACAATGGTCCCAAATAAACATTAGAACATTTGCCAGACCTAACACCGAATCATCGCATATTTGATTTGCTCTGCCCACGTGGTGCTGCAAGTTCAGAAGATGCGCCACTGCGCCGACTTTCTTTGACCGAAATATACTCTGCCGTACAATCAGCTGATACTGATAAATCCCAAATAAGAGTGGTGATACCAGCGGTGGTGGTGGTATTACCAAGTATTCTCACCATTTGACTCGAGTCACTTTCGCACCGAACTTGCTCTGTTGCATCAGAAGAGAGTGCCTCCGCCGTTCGGCCGGCCACTGAAGCAGCCATGGACACCGAGAGCCAGGACCTGGCGAGAATAACGCCTCTGCAGCAAATGGTTGCCTCATGTTCGGGCGCCCTCTTGACGTCTCTCTTCGGTACGTTCGACCGGTGTCCGTTCTGAACCCTGAGTTTTACATCTAAATTTCATTACCTTCAGTTACCCCGCTGGATGTGGTCAAGATTCGCCTTCAAGCTCAACAGAAGGACTTTATGAAGAACAAGTGTTTTGTTTATTGTAATGGCCTGATGGACCATGTTTGTTATTGCTATAATGGACATGCCAAGGGTAACATTTGCCAGATTCACGGCAACCATAACTTTAAAAATGTTCACTCGTATCACAGTATAAGTGTTAAACATTTAACAGATCAACAAATTAAAGATCTGTGGTACAGGCGCCCAGCGTACTTTGAAGGCACCCTTGTGAGTACTTTTCATCGGCAATCTTTTCACTAATTCTAACCACAACTCTCTAGGATGCTTTTGTAAAGATCACAAAGACCGAAGGCATTACATCTCTATGGAGTGGCCTGCCTCCTACGCTGTAAGCACTTGGATTGGAGATTTGATTTGTCTTGATTGTTTTAACAATTTTTGGTTTGTTTTAGTGTTATGGCCTTACCAGCCACAGTTCTGTATTTTACCGTCTACGACCAACTTCGCAATAGTCTCAAGAAGAAGTTTAAAAATGACGACGAAAGTCTACAGTTCTGGATTCCCGTAGTTGCAGGCGGCACTGCACGAACATTTGCCGCCACACTGATCAGCCCACTGGAGATGATTCGCACGAAGATGCAATCCAGAAGGTTCAGCTACTCTGAAATTGGACAGGCTGTGAAGAAGATGGTAAAGAATGAGGGCTTTTTCTCCTTGTGGAAGGGCCTCAATGCCACCCTTCTGCGAGATGTTCCCTTCTCCTGTCTGTACTGGGCCAACTACGAGAACTTCAAACGAATCTTCGAGCAGCCTAACCCCACCTTTGGTTTCAGCTTCTTCGCCGGCGCCTGCTCTGGCACAGTGGCGGCAGTAGTCACCTTGCCCTTTGACGTGGTGAAGACGCACCGCCAAATTGAGCTGGGCGAAATTGAGGTGATGAAGGACAATAAGCCGCCGCCGAAGAAGATAACCGATGTGATGATGAACATCTACAAACAGCGCGGCGCCAGTGGCCTCTTCACCGGCATTGTGCCGCGAGTCGTCAAAGTCGCCCCCGCCTGTGCCATTATGATCAGCACCTATGAGGCCGGCAAGGCCTTCTTTCGCGGCTACAACGAAGCAGCTGCCTTTCCCGTAGTTGCCGCCGCTCACTCTGATCGACTGTAGACGGTTGATCAGCATTATTGTAAATTGTGCACCCCTCCCCTCTCTCTCTGATTGTCGACCACCCTTCGTCTCATTTGCCCGATGTCAGTGTACATAGCATTGTAGAGGAACGCTTTACTTAATTGTGATGTGGTCGCATATTTTTATTGCCTTGATATCTTTCTCTCCAAAAGCGCAATTTCAATCTCGACTACGGAATGTATTCAATTGAATGTTTCCCTTATTATCAAACTTTTTTTTAATATACACACACCATTTTGCTGTGGATGAAACTCTACCTATGATGCACTTTCCTCTATTTCCGTTCCGTTGACTTGAAGCAGGTAGACCATACCCTGTTTCTTGTTGCCACTGCTCACCGTCTTGATGACTCCGCGCAGGTCACCGCCGCCGCCGTCGAGGGTGAAGGCCATTTCGGTGCCCTCTTCGCCGAACTCGTGTGTCGTCTCTGCCTTCTGTCCGTTCACCCACACGTCCAGTGTGTCCTTCTCTGTGGAAATCCAGTGAGAATTGGTTAAAGAATTCAAAGCAGTGTAGTGTAGTAGAGCACACCCAGAACGACACGCCATTCAAGATTGTTCATCTGAAAGTGCCAATTACGCATTATTCGCGTCTGCTTCTCCCAGAAGGTTTTAAATCTGCAACACACATACATTTTTCATCATTGTCAAAATTAANTGTAGTGTAGTAGAGCACACCCAGAACGACACGCCATTCAAGATTGTTCATCTGAAAGTGCCAATTACGCATTATTCGCGTCTGCTTCTCCCAGAAGGTTTTAAATCTGCAACACATATACATTTTTCATCATTGTCAAAATTAATTGTCATTTTTGTTTGGACATAATTACTGTTTTCCATTAACAAAGAGAATGTACTCGTAGGTGAAGCCACTGCAGGCGTTGATGACGATCTCGCACTTGGCAAAGACCTCTCCGTTTTGCCCCTTTATCTAGGGAAAAGTTATTTCGAATAGGGTCATCGATGAGAATGTGAAGGCCCCATACCTGGAATTGCTCACTGCCGACCAGTTTGAACATCCAATCCCGACGAGTGATCACCTCATCGTCCACCTTGACCACTCTTCGCCCAGTGGTAGTGCCATGTTCGAATGAAATCTTGTGAGTCCGATCGTAGAGTGGCACTTCCCAGGTGGCAACTAAATCGGCCATCTTCCGGTGATATCGTCAATCAATCGAACAGTCAGTACGGACAGAGCCAGGACAGTGGTGGGTGATGGTTTGCCAATCAACCTTTATTCATTGTTGTTTTCCTTCAAGAGTGTNGACCACTCTTCGCCCAGTGGTAGTGCCATGTTCGAATGAAATCTTGTGAGTCCGATCGTAGAGTGGCACTTCCCAGGTGGCAACTAAATCGGCCATCTTCCGGTGATATCGTCAATCAATCGAACAGTTAGTACGGACAAAGCCAGGACAGTGGTGGGTGATGGTTTGCCAATCAACCTTTATTCATTGTTGTTTTCCTTCAAGAGTGTACAACTGTTTTACCAGGCGGTCGTTGCCATTGGATACTGCACTGGTGAGACCTATTTACGGCATGCAATCAAATGATTTTAGCGGTGTCCAACAGCCAATGGCTCCGCTATATAAAAGACACTTCACCCTTGTGACAGTCGTTTGGTTAATGATACAAAAGCTATTAGTTTACTTGTTTGAACAAGCTATGTACAGGTGGAGATCATTGGTACAGTCGTTTAGTTAGGTCAAGCGAATGGTGTGGGTAACGTGTGGTCCGTCATCATCCTCGTAATCATTCTCCTCCTCTTCGCCCTTTTCCTCTTCCTCTTCCTCTTCATAACCATCACTTTCGTCGCTGCTATCTGGAATGCGACTAGCCTTAAAGCGCAGTATCTGATCAGCCATAGCACTCATATTCCTCTGGTTAGCCTCTTCCAAAGTCTTTAGAGAGTCTTGAAAGTCAAGAGTTTTTATTTCTTTTGGCATTTCAATCTTTACTTTGACTTCTTTGAAGTCACGACTTTTCAAATCAGTAACTTTGACAGTAGATTCAGGTTTAGGGTGAATATTAAAGCGAGGCGCTGTTGATGTCGGTGCATTTTCAATGATTTTAATTCGGTGATGAACTGTTTCAGAGCTCTCCTTTGAGTTTAAGGACAACTTTTCGAGCATCACTTCAGCATTTTTAACTTCTTCTTTCAGTTTTATTGTGGCGGCAATTTTGTTCCGAAATGAAATTATCTTCTCTCCTTTATCTTTAAGTTTTGAGAGTAATTGTCTGAAAGGCAATCAAGTTAATTGATTGTGAAGTTGTAAAGCACTACAACAACTTACTTGTTGCTGACCAGCTTATCTTGCTTTTTCAGGAGTTCATTGAGCTCATTTATCGACAACCTCTCCAGATCAACTGAATTATCTTGCTTTATGCTGACCTGCTGTTGATTCGTCGTGCTTGTGCCAGGCTCGGCCATGGCCTTTAGCAGTCGCTGCACCGAAAAGGGAGGCACTCGCCTGTAGAATTCAGAAGGCATTCGAGGTTTGAACGGGCGGTTTTTGGGTATTTGAGAAGCTGTTTCTTCCCCCGAGTTATCGGCACTTGCCATGTTGGTTATCTTTGTGGTCTGTACGAGTTGATGACAATCTGGTCGACTGGTCTGACACTGTCAACAACTGTGGTGCTGTGCACATGTGTCGGCATCAGTGGTAGAAATAGTACGGCGTTTCGCATTTCTGACGCGATCTTGGAACGGTAGCTGCTGCAAAAAGGAGCTGATAATTTTGTTGGTTTTATTGTGCCACTTTAGTTTATTTGCTCAAAGCCCATTTACAATGAAGCAAAAAATAAAACATCAATTAGCAATTAGTCAGAGTAGAATGTAGACAAAAGTTGCGCCTAGATGTGATAGCGTCTCCAGGGAATGGCAGAAAAGTTGATCCCCATAATGCAAGGACTACTACTTCTTGCCTTCAACCATGATGATATGATAACCAAACTTAGTTTTGACTGGCGGATCGGTGTAAACTGGTTTGTCACAGCTTGAGACTGGTAGCGCAAAAGCGGCGTCCTGAAAGGGGCCAACCTAATGATAAAAGTTGCGAAAAATGAAAAATGTGTACCAAGAAATAAAGTGACAGCCATCGCAACAGTCATTTTTCAACTCGTACCATTGATCCGCGAATCATCCAGCCAAGATCGCCGCCTGACCTAGCCTGAAAAAATACAAATTTACTTGCCTGAAAAAAATATCAGTTTTTTCCCAAAATTACTACAAACCTTATCTTCAGAATACGTTGCAGCCACCTCGTTGAACTTCATACCCGATTTGATTTTTTCCATCGCCTCTAAAACCTTTGATTGTTTTTCGCAGAGAATGTGGCGAACCTAGTTGAGAAGAGAACCCTAGTGTTTTTAAGCTAAGACCCGATTTCAACGAGAATACCTTGATAGTGTTGCCTTTCTTCTCCTTGCCAGCAGCTTCTTCTTTCTGGCCACCGCCACTTTTGGCGCCTTTTCCTGCGTTATTTCCAGCCTTCTTCGGCGGCATAGTTTTAGCGACAAGTCAATGGGAACCAAATGGAATCAAATGGAACAAGTGAAATAAACTGCGTGTTTGTTTGTTTATCTTTTGACGCCGACATCAGGCACTGTGTAGAACGGTGGCACCACCAGCGGCCTGTTTAGCAGACTGCAGATGTCAGCTGTGGGAACGACTTAGCCAGACTGTCTGCTACTGTCTTTTGGCGGACACAGACTCTCATCACATGATTTCGGTTTTTACTACCAATTTTGGAACTCATCATCATCGTCACTTTAGCACTTCTACATGCCTGCAGGACAGCTTATGGCGTGAACTGATGTGCAATATCCCCTCTCTTTTTTACACTCTCTCTCATCTACTTAACGATGATGCTACTGTGATCTTACTGATGTTACTGAGAAGTGATTATTATTATTCACGCATTCCCACCAGTGCTTTCGCCTAAACACAAACAGAATCAGCCCAATCATGAGCATGAAAAAGCGAGTAAAGGGGCACTTTAACTACGGGAAGCCCTTCTTCTACATCGAGGATGATGACTCCAAATCACAGGTGAGTGATGGTGATAAGAATAAATCCGTCCTGTAGTTCGTTACACAAAACCCGCTTTGCGACAAGGCGTGTGAGGAAGGAGCTGCAGCTTTGTGACTTTTGTTGGCAACGACCGGGTGAATTGTTCTTCACTGGGGTAACACCACCAGCAGCAGCAGCAGCTTGTCTACATTCCTGGTGGCAGTGAATGTNTGGTGATAAGAATAAATCCGTCCTGTAGTTCGTTACACAAAACCCGCTTTGCGACAAGGCGTGTGAGGAAGGAGCTGCAGCTTTGTGACTTTTGTTGGCATCGACCGGGTGAATTGTTCTTCACTGGGGTAACACCAGCAGCAGCAGCAGCTTGTCTACATTCCTGGTGGCAGTGAATGCGCAAGTAGTGTTGCAAAATATAGAACACCGACCGACGATCTGTCTGTCGGTGGTATGTGCCGAGGACAGCTGTGTCTCTGTCTGTCTGTTTGCCTCTATGTTTGTCTGAATGTGTGTGTGTGGTGATGATGGTGATTAGATGACACTGCACCTATGTGTTTCGGCACAGACGGATCGCTGTTCCTTTCAGTTTCTTGCTTATTAATTCGCCAGCCCAGCTCATTATTTTTTACTCTTGCTGCCACTCGATGTGTTGCACTTCATCGGCAACTGATGAAGTGCACCCTCGACTGCAGTGCATCATTCTTGTTGTTATTGTTGTTGTGACACCTCTTCAACTATTTTTGCTTAATAATCTTCACATCGAAGATGATCTGCTATCACTATGACTTTGTATGTGGCCCGCAATTGCTTGGACTGTTGCTGAAGTGGATGCATTTTTAATGGGAAAAAATTCCTCTAAATAGCGTAAATTCCTAAACCATTTTCACTTTTTCACCTTCACAGCCCTGCGATGTGGACGATGATTCGCACTCGTCAAAACAGGTCGTGGTGGGCATCTGCTCAATGGCAAAAAAGTCCGAGTCGAAGCCGATGAAGGAGATACTGGCGCGATTAAATGAGTTTGAGTTCATTCGCACAATAGTCTTTCCAGAAAACGTCATCCTCAACAGTCCGGTGGATGAGTGGCCCGAGGTGGACTGTCTGGTTTCCTTTCACTCAAAAGGATTCCCACTGAGCAAGGCCATTGAGTATGCCGCCCTTCGTGAGCCCTACGTCATCAACGACCTCCACATGCAGTACGACATTCAGGACCGACGAAAGGTCTACAAGATGCTGGAGGAGGCCGGTGTGGAGCTGCCCAGGTACGTCGTCCTTGACCGTGACTCGATAAACATCGAGGAGCGAGAACTGATTGAGAGCGAGGATCACATTGAAGTGAACGGGGTGGTCTTCAACAAGCCCTTTGTGGAGAAGCCCAT